GTATTCCTGGTCATTTGGTTTATTTTTTGTTTTTTAAATATTGTTTTACTTGTAGATGGACACAATACCTTTATTTATTTATTTTATGTGGTGCTGAGGATCGAACCCGGGCCGCACGCATGCCAGGCGAGCGCGCTACCGCTTGAGCCACATCCCCAGCCCTATTTTTGGTTTTTAACTTGACTTGGTTTCTCCTTTTATTAGCCTTTCCTTTAGTGTAGTTCCTCCYTTCGTAGATTTTCGTTGTTGTTTTTCATTTCCTCCTCATGGAATATTTTGCCAAGAATGTTCTGTAGTGCAGGCTTTCTTGCTGTAAATCCTTTTGACTTTTGTTTATCATGGAAGGTTTTTATATCTCAAGCTTAATTTTGCTGGATATAAGATTCTTGGTTGGCATCCATTTTCTTTCAGAGCTTGGTGTATGTTTTTCTAGGATCTCCTGCTACTTTGAGGTTCTGGGCTGAAACTGCTGAGATCTGAATTGGTCTCCCCCTATATGTGATCTGGTTCCTCTCTCTTGCAGCTTTTAAGATTCTATCCTTATTCTGTATGCTGGGCATTTTCATATAATGTGTCTGGGTGTGGATCTGTTGTAATTTTGTACATTTGGTGTCCTGTAAGTCTCTTGTACTTGATTTTCCAATTCCTTCTTTATGTTTAGGAAATTTCCTGATATTATTTCATTGAAGAGATTGTGCATTCCTATGGTTTGAATCTCTGTGCCTTCTTCTATCCCCATAAATCTTAGATCTGGTCTTTTGATGTTATCCCATAATTCTTGGATGTTCTGTTTATGGTTTCTCACCATCTTCACTGTATGGTCAACTTTATTTTCAARATTGTATATTTTGTCTTCATTGCCTGGGGTTCTGTCTTCCAAGTGATCTAATCTGTTGGTGATGCTTCCTATTGAGTTTTTTATTTGGTTTATTGTTTTCTTCATTTCAAGGATTTCTGGTTTTTTTTTTTCTAGAATCTCTTTCTTGAGGTTATCTTTTGCTACCTGTATTTAGTCTCATATCTCTTTGATGGTGTTATCAATGGTTGCCTGTATTTTGCTCTCTTATCTCTTTTTTAGAGTAATCAGTTTTTGCCTATATTTGCTCACTTAGGTCATTCTTTAATTTGCAGATCATTTTAATTATGAACCTTCTGAACTCCTTCTCTGAGATTTCATCTACTGCACTTTCAATGGATTCTATTGTTGTAGTATCTTGATTTGTTGGGGCACTTTCCTCCCTTGTTTTTTCATGTTGTCTATGTGTCTTCCTTTTTTGCAGTGCAGATCTGAGGTATCGAAGCTTCTACCCCATAATCTTGTAGTGTCCCTGCAGGTTACCAATATCTCACCATTAAGAGGGATATCAATGTTTATAGCATCCAGTGCAATCAATATGCAGCCATAAGTCAATTAGCTTCTATTTTGACATTTACAGTTTTGTCATTATAAATAGAAATGATCAGTTGTGTAATCTTCTACCATATAGCCAGTAGGTTTGCGTAAGGATTTACAGTTTCTACTGGTGACAGAGTGGCAGGGGGTAGAATGTGATGTTTATGAGATAGGATGTGAGAATACAGAGGTGTTAGAATATAGGACTAGTGAAAGGGTAATCAAAAGAATTTGTCTGTTAGCAGGAGAAAAAAGAAAGAGGCAACTCCATGCAAGGCTCCCTGTTGCCTCTACAATAGGATGGTGACTGTGAGCTCACCTAGAGGAGGTACCTCTGGTGCAACCAGGCCCACCGGGACCTTGGTGATGGTTTTCCAGGTCCTGGCTGTTGTCCCTAGATGGAAGTGGCCGTGTCCTTTGTTAGTGGTGGCAGTAGTGTCAAGCCTTTTTGGGGGCTTGATTTTGGGCTTCCAGGCCCCAGTCCGTGTCCCAAAGTGGAAGCTGCCTCAGATGTAGATGGCAGAGGCAGTAGCAGAGGTAACTCAAGATGGCGGTGGAGGCCACAGTTTGCAGAGATGAGGCTGGAAGGATGGATCGTAGGGTGGTATTGGGTGGTCTGTTTGGTGATGTAGCAGTGTGGTGTGCAGTGCTGCAACAAGCAGCTGCCTCCTGGCACTGTCAGATGTCCCACTGTGGAGATTACCATGTGGGGAGGGCTGTGGCGGTGGCCGCAGTATCCCAAGATGGAGGTGGTTTGGGTGGAGCCACACGTTGGTGAATAGGGAACTGCAGTGTAGCTGGATGTTCCTCTCCTCATTTTTGTTTGTCGAACACATCTCCTGTTGATTCGACCTCTGTTGGGCCTCTGTGACACCCCGCCTTCCAAGGACACAGCCTGAGACACAGTCCCACACGGCCACAAAGCAAGGAGGTGAGGCAGTTCTCAGAACAGATGTGGGAGCATATGAACCAATCCGCTCTAGCCTTCTGTGCACTCAGCCTCCACCCACTATTGTCATCCTGCAGCCACACTGTGTGCGGCCAGCTGGTTCTGTGAGTCTTGCCACCTGGAAGACGAGGCCACACCTCCCTGCATGCCTCATGGCCACTTCAAGAAAAGGCCTTTGGAGCCGCTCCTCTTATCCTGTCTGTCATGTCCAGCTCCCAAGGAAAAAGTGACAAAGCACACAGTTTAGAGAGTCACTGGACATAGGAACCAGAGAGGGTGGGGAGGCCGGATTTGTCAGAGAGGGAAGCGGAAATAGCTGTGATCTCTGTGCAAGGGCTCTGAGAGGTGAAGTGGACAGCGTGTAAGAACAGATGGTCAGGTGGCCACAGAAATGGTGCTCGAAGAAAGAACCAAACGGAAACGCTGAGGGTCAAGATGAAGAAGTCTTCAGTGGGCTCATTAGTGGATGGGACATGAGTGAGGACAGAGTCTGTGAGCTGGGTGATATCTCAACAGAAACCGAACTGAAAAGTAAAAAGAACGAAGATAGGTGAAACGAAACCAGAACCACCCACAGCACATCCAAGAACGAGGGACAGCAGCAAAAGACGTGGCGCGCGTGTGATGGGAGTCCACGGGGGAGGAGAAGTATTTGAAACAGTGATGACTACGAATTTGTCCAATTGAGGTTAGACACCAAACCACAGATCCAGGAAGTTCATGAATCTGAGCAGGATAAATATCAGGACAGCGACACCTAGGCATATGGTTTTCAAACTCTAGGAAGGCAACCTGTGAGAGAAGGTTTGTTGCCAGCCTGCTGAGCTGTACAGGCCGCTGTGGAAGGGCCTGCTCGTGGGGAGGCTTGGTGTGCTAGTGAGGGTGGGGGACTGGTGAGCTGGGAGAGGAAGCAAGGGAGGCTGAGGGGTACGGAGCCTCCTTTTGCAGGGCCTTGAGCCTCTGGTAGGGAGTTTGTGCTTTCCTAACACGGAGTTGGACCTCTTTCCATGAAGCTGTGGGAGAGGGGTCATGAGCAGAACCAGGTGCCAGTGCAGGAACACACTTGCAAGAATTGTTTTTGCCTGTGTGGAGAATGAATTGGAGAATTCAAAAGGAAGCTGTGACACTCCAGGAAAGACACAAGGCTGGAATGGTGGTGGCCGTGCCATGTAAGGAAGGGTGCAGTCAAGGCAGAGCACATGGCTTTACTCAGAGGTAGAATCRACAGGTGTCGTGATGGCCTGGAGGAGTGGGACCATGAGAGCTGGGAGGAGCCGGGGCCAGTGCCTGGATGTTTGCCTGATGAGGGCCATTTTGACAGGAGGCATGTTTCCTCCATTGTTAAACACTTTTGTTTTCTTTTTCATCTGTTCCTTCTCAAAATTTATAAACTGTTGAGTGCCATTTTCATCTTCTTGGTCTAGTTGTTTGTTTGTTTGTTTGTTTGTTTTTGCACTGAAGCCAAATTGTGCAATCTTCTTAAACTTTGACTCCTTTTCCTGTTTAGTAATGGGAACCTCCTTTGTTGATGTTTTTGGTGTTTGACTAGGAGCATTTTATCTGTTAATTATTGCTGCCAAGGATTTAAACTCAATTGATTTACCACTCCCAGTGACGTCTCTCTTGAAATGAGATTCCTGAGTGTCACCTCTGCCCCAGGAAGAGCAGAGTCTGTGAAAGCTGCACCTGTGGAAGGAGCCTCCCTTCTGGCCACCCTGCTTCCCATGAGGAGACACTGGCTGGGTGGGGGCCCTGGAGTCCACTGACCCAGCTCCCCTGTAGCATGTGGTCCCTGCAGACCCCCTGTGCTTTCTAACCTGAACGTGAGGGGTAGGAAGGCAGACTCAGGAGACTATATTTTCCAACACTGGAAGCTGTGGGAGAGGGGTCATGAGCAGAACAGCATGCCACATGGCACCACCACCACCATTCCAGCCTTGTGTCTTTCCTGGAGTGTCACAGCTTCCTTTTGTCCTTCTCCAATTCATTCTCTACATAGGCAAGTATACCTGCTTACTAAGTGGAATTTATTACATTTTATTAAAATGTGGCTCCTTCTTGTGAATGAATTGAGAGCAAGTGTGTGAAACATATTTTAGTTAAGCAGATTGTTTAAATTGATACAGTGGAATGGAGTCTTTTATGTTTTCTAAGAAATAGAGAAACTGGGAAGAAAATCTGTTAGTTGGTAATACATAGAGATTTATTTCACACCTAAATGAGAAGCCAGAAATGCATACAAAACATAAGAATTTCAAAAACGTTTCTTAGGCACCAACTACTATTAAATACCCATGGATGTTTTTGATTTCCCATTACATTAAAATTCTCAAAGGAACTTCATATTCAGAACATTTAAAAATAGCCCAATCTTAAAAAGAAGATTTAAAGTATTATCAGCTGTGCTTTTTATACATAATTAGCACGTGCCTATGGGAACTATAATGACTTCTAATCTAATGATACTGTTCATGATAAAAAGTTCAGATGGTAAGAATCAGGGCCACAGCTGGGTGACACATTTCTGAGGGATTCAGAGATGACCCCAGCATTGAAGGCAGGCAGTTTCGGTCTCTGGAGTCCCCTTCCCCATGGGTGGATCATGAAGGCACTCCTGAGAGAGGCTCTCTGAGTGCGTCCTTGCACCCTTTCTTACAGATCCCACGTGTGCTCAGTCCCTTCAGTGCTGTCAGGCTGCTGTGGAGCGACGTCCGATCCCTCTTTCTGACATGGCCCGGGAGTCTGGAGACCTGGCATCTGACTGTCAGTTCTGGCTGCAGAAGCTCTCTGGGTGGAACCAGGCCTGCACTCTGGAGACCCAGCAAGACACCTGTCTTCACCTTCCTCAGTTCCAGGAGTTCCTGAGACAGATATACGAAGCCCTGAAAGAGGGGGTGAGTAGTGGACCAAAATAGTGAAATTGTTTGATGACATTAGGGACTCCACCAGATGCCACCAGGCCACAGTGCTGTGCAGGGTTAGAGACTCTACTGACCTCGTGCACTTAAGGATTAGAAAGATGAGTTTCCTATGGTACAGCAGACAAGAGCCGGTTTCCTTCTCTGATTTATTTTTATGTTCGTCTTTTCTTCTTGGTAGCTGTATTGTCATGAGACTTTCTGACCAAGAAAGTTTTTATTTTTTCGTATATATGTTTTCTTTTTTACTTTATGCCTGTGTGTACATATTTTAAATTTTTATTTTGTGTGTGTGTGTGTGTGTGTGACGCTGGGGATAGAACCCAAGTAAACACTGTACCCCTGAGCTACACCCCAAGCCCATGCCGGTTACTTTTATTTATTCTCAATATTTTTACTGGTACACTGTAGTTGTATATATGGTGGGTGTGGTGTTATGTATTTGTCCATGCTCACTGTATAACTTGGCCAGTATCATTCCCCAGCATTTCTCTCCCCTCCTCCGTCTCCCTGGTTGCTTTCTGCTCTACTCATCTCCCTTCGATTTTCATGAGGCCCCACCCACCACCTTTCTTTTCCTTTTTCCTCGCTAGCTTCCACATATGAGAGAAAATATACAACCCTTGACTGTATGAGCTTGGCTTATTTCACTTAACATAATGTTCTCAAGTTTCATCCATTTTCCTGCAAATGACATAATTTCATTTTTCTTTATGGTTGAATAAAACTCCATTGTGCATCTCTACCACATTTTCTTTATCCATCCATCTGTTGACAGACACCTAGGCTGGTTCCAGAGTTTGGCTATTGTAAATTGTGCTATTATAAACATGGGGACCCATGTATTGCCAAAAAGGCTATTAAGTAAATAAGACTCTGATGCTGGTTTCAAGTAATAAATGAGATTTTTTTCAAAGCCTTTGTGCCCTTCACATCTTGAAGAGTTTGCTGAAGTGCTTACCCTTTCCTCAGCCCTGTTCTCAGGTGGACTGTCCTGAGAGGTACTAAGATCTGTTCTAATACTCAGACCTGACCGTTAAGATAGTAGGGTCTCTTCTAAAATTTCAAGTGATCTTTTCTAATAAATATTAGAGAAGATCTTCACTACTGTTAGTAATCATTTGTGAAATGTTAAGTTTTCTTTTTGCCAAAATATTTTTTGATTTAATAGATATTTTACGATAGCACATGCTTTTTTATTATAAATATATCATTTGTTTTGTATGTACTTGTAAATTTCAAAAAGAAAAGGCAAATCATTTGCTAATATATATGTTCTCATGTTATGCTTCCCTGCCGTTAATCAAAGAAGCAAGTAGGAAATTTGAAGAATAATTCTCTTTGGAAATCAGAAGGGCAGATACTCTGTGTAGTCAGATGTATGTAACTTGACCTTAACGTGGTCCCAGAAAGTCTGGGCCAGCCTTGGTGCTGAGACACACGTGAGGAATTTACTGCTGCAGCAGCAGGAAATGCTTATCGTTTCAGCTTACCTGCACATTATCTCAGTTGGGTCTTATTTTTGAACTTTCATGAAAGGTAAAGAAGTGGGAAAAGGGCCAGTTGTACAACAGCACTTGTATTTTTTAATCTTAGGCTGTTTTCTATTTGGTTTGTCTCAAGGTTTAGGTTGTTTTAGATTAAGTATGATGTCATTTAGCATACAGCAGTCAAAATTTTAATGAGCAGAGATGGGTATCTTTGGGCTCTGGCTGCTTTCTTTCTTTCTCTCTTTTTTTCTTTCTTTCTTCTTCTTCTTCTTTTTTTTTTTTTTTTTTTTACAAATTCCAGAGTTCTTGTTCCTTTAAACATTCTTTGAAATAGCCTCACTGGAGCTGGATTAATAACGTTCCTTGTTTTGCTAGAGTTAAAAAGCAATATGAAGATATAGGATTATAAAGTTATTAATCACCAATAGTTCTTAAAACTCTTACTCAAGCCAGGCATAGTGGCACATGCCTGTAATCCCAGGGACTTTGGAGACTGAGGTAGGAGGATCACAAGTTCAAGGCCAGCCTCAGCCACTTAGCAAGACCCTGTCTCAAAATATAAACTAAAAAGGGCTGGGGATGTAGCTCAGTGGTAGAGCACCCCTGGCCTCAAACTCTAGGAAATAAAGTAAAATAAAGCTCTTATTCAGCCTAAGTTATTTTCAGATAGACTAGCCTTTCCTGACTACGGTTTAGTAGGATGCTTGACTGCTTGTTAGACTGTTCGTGAATTCTTTCCTGAAGATTTTCTCTAATTCTTTTTTGTCTGCTTTTCTAAAATACACCAAGTAAGGAGCATCCAGGCCGCTTCCCTTTGTGGTGCCCTTTTGCTGACCAAAGCTTATTTTTCTTTTCAGGATCCTACTATGATCATGGAAAGATTCCCCACAATCCGTCAACTGTTAGCAAAAACCTGCCAGAATCCTTTTATCTTAGCATATGGTAAGGATCCAAGCTGTGTCTTCTCAAAACACAAACTTGTAATGACAGTTTTAATTTCTGCTTGAACAACATACAGAGACTTAATTATAAATCTTTCTCTGGTTTTCACGGAACATGTATCAAGTGCATTTATTGCTGTATTGCAGAAAGATGTCCTTTATTTTGTGTGTGTGTGTGTGTGTGTGTGTGTGTGTGTGTGTGTAGAAGACATGCATGCACACGTGCACACATACCCCCTCCTGCAGATCCATAGAAAACAGGCCTCCTTGAAACAGAGGGCAGAAACTTACAGGTGATTGAAACAATAATTTTTGTCCGTAATCACTTTCATCACTTCATCTTTTTTTAAAAAAATTATTTGTTCTTTTTAGGTATACATGACAGTATTTTGACATATTATGCATATGTGGAGTTTAACTTCCCATTCTTGTGGTTGTACATGATGTGGAGTTTCACTGGTCGTGTATTCATGTATGAACATAGGAGTCTGATGTTGGATTCATTCCACTGTCTTTCCCGTTCCCGTCCCCCAGCACCTCATCTTTAACTCCACGTAAAGTGACTAACAATACCAACTTAATGTCTTTGTTTCTCAAGATAGTCTGTCAACTCACAAACGGTTTCCCATGTTGCAAAATCATCTTTCAGAGTCTGAATCTAGCGATGGCTTTGCTCTTACATGGGGGTGACATTCTGGTTTTATGCAGTTTGAGAAAGTTGAGTCCATGTGGGGGGGTATTCCTTCTCTGGCTTCCTGCCTCATCTCCTGTTTCGTCTTCCTCAACGAGTCACAGACTTTGTGGTCAGGTCCTGTCACTGACGGTGCCTGGGGCCTTGGGGTCAGGGCCTGCAACTCCTGGGATAAGTTCCTTGTGCTTCTCTTCTCCCTTGTCTCCTTCGGTCTCCTTTGAAACAGCATTCCTGGGGTGAGGCAGGGACCGCAGTGTCCCCACAGCCCCCAGCATCTTCCTCTGGTRTCGCACTTACTCACTGTTGGATGCCCCGGAAGACTGAATGCCTCTGAGAGCAGGAGCTGTGCCCTCCTCTTTTTCTTCCTAAGGCCTGGCACGGGGCAGAGCAGGCACCCTGAAGGAGCACTTGCCTTGGGCTGACTGTATTATTAGCTCACATAATATTTGCTTTTCAGATTTTTAAAATAAAAGATTAATTGAATTATGTAACAGTATTAGAACCAAAGATAAAATGAATATTCCCCTTTGATATTTTAAAGAATTGAAAAATTTCCCATGTCGATCCTGTCATAAGTGCTTAGAAGAGCCAGGCACTAGTGGCCCTGTGAGCACACACTTATGGGTCACTGCACACTCCGCCCCTCGGCCTCCCTGACTCCGCCCCACCCTCTTCTGTTCTGCCTCCTCAGGCCTCTTCCTCTCCTTCCTCCCTTCGCCTCCTTCTGGCTCTTGATCTGCCTTGGCAGACGAGTGAGCCAGCGCTGTTTGCCCACAAGGCCACACTTCCTGCTCTGAGTCTGTGTATTGTAGCGAGGCCAGTGTCTCTCAAACATCTTTGACCAGAAAGGCATTTGTATATATGTGTATGTACAGTCGTGCACATATGTGCTTCATGCATACATGCTCACTCATGGGATCAGACAATTCATGAAAGAATGCTCATTTTTATGAGGAATCTGTTTTCACTGTGCTGTTTAAAAAATGGTATTCATGACCCCAAACTGATTTTACAACCCCTTGTGTAGCATGACCAGACATTTGAAAAACACTGAGCGAGGCTGATGGCAGGRGAAAGGAAAAGAAGCTGTTGAATGACTTCTAGTTACCAGCACCCGTGAGATGCTTTGTGGGTCTAATAATTGCTTTTTAGAAGAAAATTGGTTTAATTTTCCATATAAAAATAAACTCAGGGGAGGTAAGAGAGGAGGTACAGGAGGCTGGGATAGAAGAGGGAGGGGTGAGGTGGTGAGGCCCAGAGGCTAGGGCTGTGAACAAGGAAGAGAGAGAGGGAGAGAGAGATAGATAGATAGTTAGTTAGTTTATGGAGCCTAAACTCAAAAGATGGCGTTCTCATGTGTTGAGTGGTTCTGCACGCTCAGTTCAACAACTGTATAATTTTTAATTTTTCTCTTTCTTAAAAACAAAAACAAGAAGAGCCATGGAAACTCCCATCCAGCATGTGGGCCTGCCTCTCTTTGCCCAGAGTGGGTGCACTGAAATGCACAGCTAACCAGCTCCCAGCGTTCTCCGCTGTGGTGATTCACAGGCACAAGCCACTGCTGTCCTTCCTGAAGCTACGAGCACTCGCTCCAGGCAGTGGCACTCGCTGGGCAGGCTCCTCCCCAGAGGCCCTGAGATGAGGGCTGGAGCACCTTTGGGGCACTTACAAGAGAGGGGAGACTTCCCGGGGCTCATTTCAGTAGATCTTAGCGCAAACTGAGATTCAAAAATTGAGTGGTGGGAAAAGAAATATGCAGCATACATTTACCACCTGATGTTTTATATCTTGAACTGAAATTCCAGATGAAAACTAAATTCTTCATGTTTCATTTCTAGAGGTTAAGACCGTGACGCCAGCTCTTTCTGTTGAGACAGTAAGCACCTGTTGTTTAAGCTGCTCAGTTGCAGAGGTTGGGAGGGGGAGGCTGGTGAACAGGGAGGGCCAGGGCTGCTGCTCTGCTTGGACACCAGGGCAGAGCTGGACAGCCACGCAGAACTCGGGAGTTGTGTGCAGAGGACATCACTGAATAAAAGGGTTCTCCCTCTCTCCATTATTGCCTTCTCTCTCCTCTTTTGATGTCTTCATTTCCAAATGGCTTGTCTCTGTGTTTTCCTTGTCTTTTKTATTCCCTTTCTCTCACTTTCTCAATGTCTCTCTCCCTCTGCTTCTACCTGGCTTTGGAGATGCTGCTCAACACATTGCTTTGCTCTGGCCCTGGCTGCTGCTGAGTCTGCATCTCACTGGACGGGTCTGTCACACTTGCTACACGAAGCTGAAGGAGCCTAGCATCTGCCGAGGTTAAATCACGTGACTCTTGAAGTGAAGGGATCCCAGGCCAGCCAGTGCCTACTAGTACTTCATGTGGGCTCCTGAAAGCCAGGGGAAGGACAGACGGCCCTCAGAATAGCCCCTCACCTGTTTGTTCAGAGAACTGGTTACTGGGCAGGCATAGCTATGAATGTTGATGGGGGTGGGTGGTAAATTTACCATTAGCAATCTTTGCTTAGTGGTGAAAATACTGAGTGGCGTCCTGCAGTCAGTATTGTGTTCTTTTCTTTACGAAGGAAGCCTTTAGAAGGCTGTTTATTGGACTGCAGAAAATGGGAAGGAGAGTGGCAGGGGATCCTGCCCAGAACTGACTCCAGGTGCCCGCGGCCTCTTTGTGAAGTCCCCGGACATTACTCTTCTCCAGCTCTGGTGCTGATACCTTCAGTTTTTAGGCCTCATTTTTGTTTATTTTTAAAAATTTTTATTTATTTTTATGTGGTGCTGAGGATTGAACCCAGCACCTCGTACATGCTGGGYGAGCGCTCTATTGCTGAGCTACAACCCCAGCCCCTCTTTTTTGTTTCTTAATTGAGTTATAGAATCTCTACCTGGAATGGACTCCATCACCACCCACAGAAAAAGAAAGTGGCTCATCAGATAGAGGTTCCTGCCAAGTGTATGATTTCAAGGTTCAGGATTTCCATCACATTTTCAGTGAAGTTTTAAATTTTAAAGAATAAGGAGCATGTAACAAGCTTCTATTTTCTCCAAATCATTTGGTACTAAAATGAATATGTTTTAAAACAATCCTTTATGTTGAATTTGTTTTTAACAAGCAAGGATATTTTGGCAAATTAGAAAATTAAGAGATTAAATTGGAAATGCTGACTGGCTTGCCTATGGCAGTTATGTTGCCTTAAAAAGGCTGAAATTACTAGTGGTTTGAAATATGAAATGAAAAGCCGCTCTCAAGAAAAGCCCACTTCTTCCAGTTCTTTCCATATTTTAAGGCCCTGTTTGGCTTTAAAAATTGCTGCTGTTACAGAAAGGGACTGACCACACAAGAGCTAAGCCCAAGTGAGCCCGAGCCCACAAGAAGAGGAAACCCGCAGGAGAGGCTTCACACAAGCTCTTGGAGGCCTTCTCTGTGAACTTAGTAGTTTTGAGATTTTTTTCTAAATGATGTTTTAAAAGGATTTTTTTTAACAGTTTATCTTCTTTCCTCCATTTGATAAAACCATTAATTTTAGTTTTCTTTCCTACAGATGAAAGCCAGAAAATTGTAATATGGTGCTTATGTTGTCTGATTAACAAAGAACCACAGAGTTCTGCAGAAACAAGACTTAACTCCTGGGTTCGGGTAAGAGGAAATCTCATTCTGCACTATTTTGAAATAAGATTACTTAAAGGAACAGCCTTATTTTTATTCTTTTTTTTGGGGGGGAGGGGTATTCAGTTCTGTGATGTTTTAGACGCTGTTTCAAGCAGACCCTTCACTGTGGACACTATTTTTGCTCGATTATGAATTCCAGAAGACATTGGCTCGTGGTCAGCATGAACCTCCCCATGCTGACAAGACCTGATGCCTGAGTGGTCTTGAAATGCCACTTTTAGGTAACTAAAAGAACCATTTTTTCTAGCAATTACTGTCTTTCAAAAAATGATTTCTCCTACCAACCTAGTTTAAATCCTTACGGATTTCCTCTTCACCAACTTCTCTGCCTGTCTCAGAACCTATTCTGGAGCAAATCTAAAATTCAGAAGTGCCCAGGGAGCAGCAGTCTCTATTTTGGCTCCCATAAGTTGGTACCTGTGCCAGTAAGCTCAGYGACCTGTCCCTGGTACTTCTACCACTGCAGCTCACACTGTCAAAGCCGCAGCCTGCACACTGGTCCCTTAGAGCAGCTTCCTGGGCTCCCGGTCTGTGTCTGCTTCCTCTGAGGGGCAGGCACAAGTGGGGATGTGGTAGGCTGGCCATGGCTGCCCCACCACCAGTATTGTCCTGCTGCCTTAGCCGAGGACTCCGCTCAGTGTGCATGTGGTTCAGATTAGCTGCTTGGCATCACGAAATCAGCCAGCCGGCCTAATCATCCGGTTTCATCTATCAGCCTGACTGGTGATGTCATTACCTTCACTGCTCTTGACGATGCCTTCGTTTCAGACAAAATTGCTACTAGAGATGACAAAAACAGTATTTGTATTTCTCTATTGGATTCAAAGAAGAATAGAAGGAACACTAGAGGTGAAAGGGATTGGGCAAGAAACAAATACAAAATCTAATTGGAATTTGTGTAAATGGCTGAGGAAAGGAGAACTGATAAGTGAAATTAGAGAAAAAGGAAGATGTAAAACAAGGCTATGAAAATAGAACATGTGTTTAGGCTTTACTTTTTTAATTGTTGCTTTTATTGGTGTCTGATATTTTAGAGACTATTTAATATGTAATTTTGCATGGGCTGACTCCTTAAATTCTAAACCAGGCCATCTAATAAAGAGTTTTCAAGGTGACTCTGTGAACTTTCTTCATTTAGCTCATGACTTTATTAGCCTATTTAAAAATTTCTAACTTCAAGTTTATCTTTGTTTTTTCCTTGTTTAGTACTTGTCTACTTATTAATAGGCACTCAAATTGAGTGTAGCAAAGGGAGAGAAAATTAAAACACTTAATTGCCACCTTAGGGAACTCACTGACTGGTGGCCAGGTCATGCCAGGACAGTGTGGTTGGGTGGTTGGTAAAGCTGTGTATAGGTGTGATGGTGACACAGGGAGCACTTGCCCAGACATGGGGGCTTTGAGACAACGCCTGTGGCGGGGGTGGGGTGGGGTGGGGTAGGGTGGTACGGTACTGGATGGAGGTGCATAGTGCTGCCTGGGGTGGGGATCTGTGGGGTGCAATGAAGCATGGAGCTGGGGAGATGGACCTCAGGTACCACTGTAAGGAGTATTTATTTTATCTTAAGGGTGGTAGGGAGACCATGAGAGTATTTCAACAGAGAAATATGGCCAGCTGTGAGGTTTGGGTATTAACAGCTCTTTGGAAGAGCAAGAAGGTAGCACTTTGGGGGCTTTTGCACAGTTAAAGGTGAGAAATCATGAGTGCCTGAGAAAGACAGAGAAGGGAGACCATATTTATACCCTGTTTTATTAAACAAGGTAAAATCCAAAATAGATCCTGGCAGCTTAAGAGCGGCTGTCCTGAGGTGTGGGTGGAGATGTGCAGAGGAGAGTTGAGAGTTCCCTTCTCGGAGAGGAAGCTGACAGCTGATGGAGGGCTGGAAGTGAACGGTGAATGGGGAACATGGTGTGGGAGCCTTGGGTGAGACCAGACCACCCAGACAGGAAGAGGGGCTCCAGAGAAGAGCCTTGGATCCCTGAGGACGAGTCCAGGGACAGGAGGGAAGCAGGAGCGCCTGCCTCCAGCAGTTCCCATTCCTGCCCAGTGCTTCTAGCAGGGTCAGCAGAAGTAAAGTACATGCTCCTATAGATCTTCTATTACATTATAAAATCCTACAAAAATCCAGACCAGTTCTTTTTTTTTGTTTTTGGTACCAGGAATTGAACCCAGGGTCACTTAACTACAGAGCCACATCCCCCCACAAACCACCCCCCTTTCTTAATTTATTTAGAGACAGAGTCTCCCTGAGTTTCTTAGGGCCTCCCTAAGTTGCTGAGGCTGGCTTTGAACTTTCAATCCTCCTGCCTCTCTCTTGTGCCATTGGGATTACAGGTGTGTGCCACTGCACCTGCCCTAGATTAATTCTTAAATTTGAAAATGTTATCCTGGGTTATCTTTTTAACACAGAGAAGAAATAAAAATTCTGTTTGAGGCTTGGATATATGTTGCCACATGTTACTCTGGAAATACAATGATAAGCTTTTTGGAGTTTCACTGATACTCAGAATGTGCCATCAAATAACATGATCTGAGTGGCTGTTGTTACAGAGACTGGTTAAGGTCAGAGGACCCTCTCACACCTTTCAGAATATTTGATTCTTGAACAACTTGATTTTACTGGTGAATGCACGGAACACATACTTTTGAATATAGACGGTTTGCCAGGGACTGTGATAGAAGCTAAGGACAGAGCATTGAACCTGAAAGAATCTGCTCTCTTACAGTCAGAGCAGAGTTTCCCAGGCCTGCCAAACTTAGGGGAAGCCTTCCTCCCTGGGTAAGAGGGTCCCACTGCTGTTTCTCACCTGGATGAGAAGACACAGTAGGGTGCCATGAGCAGAGGGCCGCAGGGCTGTGCTCTGTCCTCTGTCCTCTCAGCAGGCAGTGCTGAACAGCGTCCAGCTGGCTTCAGTTCTTCTGTTTTCTCCTTCTTTTTAAACTTTTAAAATTACAAAATCTAACAAACATGCAGAAAAATGCACAAAGCATAAATGTCAAGCTTAACAAATTGTTGCAGACTAGGAGCTGGGGTCCATTTTGCCTGGCTTCTAGATGCTTCCTGCTTCCTTCCTGCTGGTGTTCCCCTTGTTTCACCCCAGTAGTGACCACTAACCTGACTTTTATTTGTATTGCTTTATGTTTCTATCACTGAATTATGCAGTCTGGCTTGTTTTGTTTTTTGTTTTTGATAGAAATGGAGGAATACAGTGTGCATTCTTCTGTGTATGATTTATTTTGTTTAATACTGTGTTGCCAAGATTCATCCATGATGTTGGGTACGTGATTTGTACATTTTAGCCACTCTAACTTTGATGGGAATTTGTTTCCAGTTCGAGGGAATTCGGGTCAATCTACTGTCTGAAGCGTGTGTTTTATAGACAGGAGAAATGGCAGGGTGTGGGATGTACATATCCTAATTTTACTGGCTCATGCTGATTTTCCCCATGGTAGTGGCAGCAGCTTGAATTTCTATGGTCCACACGTGAGGGTTCCCTGTCACCTGATCCTGTCAGACTACCAAGCCTCCGGTTACCCTGATGGGCATGTGCTGGTGTCTAGCATGGTTTTTGTTTGTTTTTCCTGAAGTTGAATTTTGATTTTGTTAAATCCCTGTTCAAGTTTCTTAATTGTTTTCCTACTAAAATTTCTTTCCTTGTTGGTTTGTAGAAACTCTTTATGTGTGTTGGACATAGGTACTTTTGAAGAAACCTCAGTGTGGCAGCTCTTGGTTCCAGCCTGTGACCTGTGTTTATGTTCCTTTACTGTCTTTTAAAGGAGACATTTCCCTTTGAGGTTAGCATTTTACATCTTACCTGGGGAATGCTGTGCTCCCCGGCCGTGTTACTTTCCTTGTGCAGTTCTGGGGTCCCCCTGCAGCTGTGCTTGTGTGGGCAAAGGTCAGAGTTGGCTTTCACACTGTGTCCCTGTGGCCGCCCCATGCCCAGCACCACTGGTGGGAAATCACTTCCCTCTCTCTGTATGTTACCTTTGTCATGAGCCAGGTGTCTTTGCATGAGCAGGTGTGACCCTGAGTCTCTCCCTTGGTCTTGTGGTGGTTAATTGTATGGGTCAACTTGACTGGACCATTAAGTGCCCACGTGTTTGGTCAAACATTATTTCCGGGTGTTTCCATGAGAGTGTCTTTGGATGAGAGTAAGCTGTTTCCATGAGAGTGTCTTTGGATGAGAGTAAGCTGGTAGACTGAGTAAAGCAGGTAGCACCTCCCTCGTGTGGGTGGGCCTCATCCAGCCAGCCCCAGTCAGTCAGTTTGGTGAGACTTCAATGGCCACTCTATCCTAGGACCAAACGTATTTTTATCAGCTTTATTTAGAGTCACCTCTGGATGGGATTGAGGTGCAGCCCCCAGGAAGGGGAGAGGTGCCAACCTTCCCTTCCTGTTTGCTCAGTAGTGTTATTTTTAGTCTCTGACTCCTTTGCAGGGATCTCCTGAGCTGGGCTTCCCGTGGGTAGCCCCCCCAGGAGCTGTTCCCTGCTGGTCACTTGGAAGTCCCAGTGTGTGAATGAGAGGGAACAGGGACTCCAGGGAGCCTGGCAGCCCTGTGTGCTGGACTCCCTCCTCTTTCCTCAAGATCCACTTGAACCGTTTGTGGCCTGTGGCCGTCTAACATCTGGACTCAGGAGGCAGTGCCCATTAGGCAGACATCTGTCTTGTCTCATGCAGTCTTTCCAGCGTCGTCTTTGTGCATCAGTGGGCGATCCAGCGTGCCACCTGGTGTCGCATGCCCCGTTACCATCCATGCGCCACCTGTGTGTGCAGCTTCTCCTGGCCTTCTTGGGACCTAATGACTTTCCCTTTCCCATTCTGTTACCCCCTCCCCAGGCTCCCCGCCCCGGGGTCTTCTGCGTCCTGGGATCCTATCGCAGAGACTGCACCCCGCCTGGGGTTTGTGCTTTGCACACATTCCCATTCCTGAGCTTGAGGTGCATTCTGACTCCTGCCAGC